TTTTGTCTTTCTTATCAACAATGGTTAAGTCTGGGGTGCTGTGTGGCAGGTGCTTGTCTGTCTGGATTCTGAAATCCCAGAGCACATTATTATTATCATCCTCTTATTTATTCTGGTTTTCTTCATTCTGCTTTCCCAAAAAGAAAACCATGTTCCTTGTTATTTAAAACATGGCTAGTTTTAGGCCCCAGAAGCCCTAGTCAACGGCGAGGAATGTAGGCAGTACAATTCAGCAACATCTGGAGGGCAGTAGTTCAAATGTAGCTCAGAGAAACTACATTTCCTAGAGGCTTTTTTGTCGTTTTTCTGCTGAAAAAGAGATGTGACAGTCAAAACACTTAACCCGCCTTTCCCATGTCCCTTTCTGTCGTTTCATTCCTCTTTGAATTTTCTTTAGCTCCTACAGTAAGTTGTGTGTCTTTTCCTGCCAGCCTTCGAACAAAAAGAGCATCTTAATCGCATTGCAGCTTCTTCCCCCAAAAAAGAAGGTTTCAAGTTGCAACGCTCCTCTGCCTTTGATCTCCAACACCGAGGTATTCCTACAGTGACCTTATTTTGTTGGAAAAAATAAAGGACAAGCCTGAAAAAGGGGGCACATCTGAAAGAGGTTCCTGAGGATTACCCAAAACAAAAAAACCAAAAAAAAACACCAATGGTTTAGGTTTATAACTTCGCTTTACAAGGGAAAATTCAAGAGTGGAACCAAGAAAACAAAGGATTAAATTAAATAAATCTAAAGGACAGCTTTCTGAAATAAAGAACTGTCCTTTATCCTAAAGGGCGTACAGTCACTATAGGTATTCCTCCCTCCCTCCTCTTGCAGTTTTCCAAACAGGAAAGGCTTCACCGGTTGGATTTCTGCCTGAAATGCAAAATTGAACGGCAGAGGGGCCTCAGTTAGGAACTAACGCAGCAGTACTGTGGCCTATCACTCATACAGCCCATAAAACCATTAATTCACTGCTGCCATAAATATAATAATACACGCAGTCTGCAATTCTAACCAGGCTACAGAGAAGCAAGACCTTTGGGACTCCTCCCACTCCTCCTCCCCCTCCCTCCACTGAAACCCCGCCCCCTGAGTTTCCTCGGTCTTCTCTGGACTTCCCATTCGGGGTGGCACTTTCGCTCTCCGTGGCGTACTTTTTTTAAACCCCAAATTACATTTCCGCCTCTGGCTTAAAAAAATAAATAAATAAGCCATCCGTTTGCCTCGGCCTACGGCCAAAGCCGAAACGCTCCGTTCTGACTTTTTAAAAAACAAACAAACCCTGAGCTCGTGACGAATCGGCCAAGCGCCGCCTAGGGGGCTAAGC